CTATTGTGCACCCGACTTGAGCCGAGGGTAAATAAAACATGACGTCACAATACATGACTTTCTCCATGATTAAAACCAAAAACGCATGACGTCATGATGCATTGTAGTACATAGTTATCTTATCGTTAGATTGAGACACAGTTGATTAGACTTGTGTTTCCAAAAAAAAATTTATGGGTAGTACAAAGGAAATAAACTCGTTATCCAGGTTCAATCAAGGGTGTACAGTGATTTACCCAGGGTTGTAACATTCCAATAACCTTTCGGCCTCAGGGTGTATGGAATAAATCTCAGGGGATAAATACCCCTGCACCCTTGCTTGTGTTCAGCTTTAAACATGTTAGATATTCCCCTGCAATAGAGTTGGGGGATATAATTATGCAATTGTGTGTTGCTTTCAGCTCTATTGGTCAGAGACCAGAAGAGCTTATGCGATAGTAATGCGTCCATCTAGCTGTCTGTTTGTCTAGCTGTCTGCAAAAACATTTACCTTGCCCATAACTTTTGATTTAGTGGAGCTATGACTTTCATATTTCACATGTATATTCCTTGTGACAAGACCTTTCTTTGGGTACCACCAATTTGACCTTGGACACACGCTTCATTTTCTTTATTATGCCACACTGCAGTGTTAGCAGTAATCTTCAATTACAGATTATAATTTATTTAATTTTTAAAATTCAAAACAATATACAATGATTTACGGGCGTCATCGATATAAATAATTCGTATGTACTGAGGCTGCACACTCCAGTCCGATATGTTGCAGTAGATTTATAACAATTTGTCATGAATAGAAATTTCCATTTTCATCAAATAACGTGTTCTCAAATCCTTGTAGTGTCTTCGATTCTGTACGCATCGAATCTACCTATCTTAAATCAATAAACAATATATTATTCTAATAACTCTTGAGTTGTTTGAACAAATATTTTGTCTCTGATGTCGATTCAAGTTTGTTCAAATGAAAGGTCACGCCCTCATTATAGGGGAGATAACTGGGAATTAATAAAAATTTGGTGGCATGTTTTAAAAATCTTCTTCTCAATAACCACTAAATTAGGAAAGATGAAACTTAAAGGAAAGCATCCTCAGGTAGTGTAGATTCAAGTTCCTTCAAATCATGAACCCCGGGGTTAGGGCGGGGCCACAATGGCCGATCAAAGTTTTACATAGAAATATATAGGAAAATTCTTTAAAAATCTTCTCAAGAAAAGCCATGCTTGGTCATGGCACTACTTTGGGATTTAAACTTTTCAATAATAAACCAATTTCTACTTTTTCTCTCGATCCGTTTTCGTCCGTCGTTCGTAAACATTGAACATTTTTAGCTTCTTCTCTGAAACCACTGAACCTATCGCATCTATATATGGGTGAAGGGGAACAAATATTGTGAATTTCATGGTCCCGCCCCTCCCCCCTCTGGGGCCTGGATGCCCAATACTTCTGGACATCAAGCCGGCAGTCAAACTGTTGGTATGATTGTAATCAGTATCGACTCCTCTACCAAAATTGTGAATTTCATGGCCCCAGGGTCAGGGGTTCTAGTGCTAGGATGGGGCTACATGTCCATGTATATAGATTATATAGTGAAAATGCATTATTTCTTTGAATTTCTTCTTTTTCTGCCTCTGTGCATTAAATAAACTATATAATCTACACAGTGCATAGTTACGTTGAAAATGACAAACTCTTCCAAAATTGTGAATTTCATGGTCCCAGGGTCAGGGGTGCTGGGTCGGGGCTTTATATTAGTTGGTGGTAGCTTTTATTGCAATATTAATAGGAATATTTAAAGTACATAGGCTATATATTAAATAAAAATAAATGCAGTTTTCGTACTTTGAACCATTAAAATAATGAGGGTGGAAACACCTTTTTTTTATTTGTCAATATTTATTTCTTTGTTTATTGGAAAGTTTTGGTATGAAATTGTGTATAAAAACACGAAAAATGGTCCATATATTGACAGTCCCCCCTCCCCCCTTTGACTACAATAAAGGCAAGGTAACAAAATTTCATTCTAATATTTCTTAGCATAATACATACAAATATATTTCCAAGAATTAAATTTTTTTTTATCATTCCGTGTTCATAATTTTCTAACTAGATCGGGCCTCGTTAATGCTTTGAAATATGCACTAAGGTATTAATCAACAACATGATGAAATAAAATTTCTAAATTTTGAAATATGTGGCCCCAGGATCAGTGGTTCCTGTGGGGTGGGGTGCACAACTGATAAAGCGAAAATTATGCATTTTCTCTTTTTACTCTGATTTACCTCTGTGTATTAAGTATAAGAAAAGTAAGCATGCTAAGTGTATAGTTATGATAAGCAATGGTGTCTCTTTCAAGATTGTGAATTTCATGGCCTCTCAAATTCAATATGGGAATCAAATTCAATATGTTGGAAAGTTATTAAATGATACTCAGATGAACAATAAGGCCCATGGGCCTCTTGTTACGAAAATATAATATTTATAAAGTTACATCAATAAT